GTGCCTTTGGACTTGCGCCGGGCCGGCGCAAATGTGCCAGATGCTCTTGCCTAACGTTATTGCCAGACCGCAACCAAGTTTGGCCTAACAATATTCCTCTCCAGCGTACATGTTGCCATTTTTTCTATACTAGGTTTGCATCCAGTTTCAACTTGCGTTTTTATATTGCGCCACTTCAGCGTGGGGCTGCCCCACTAAACTTTCCTGTTCTCAGCCAAGCTTCACCAGTCCAGCGTGGATGCACCCGAACCATCTTCTTTTCAGACAGGGCGTTGTTCACCCTGCGTGTCAGGTAGCTAGACAAGACGGCCTGTGTGTGCTTGCCCTAGTTTTTCTCCACTCGTGCCACGCGGAAATTGCCTCTAGCGCTGGTTTTCTCGTGCATTTTCGTTGGATGCGTGCCAGACCCTTTTGGTCACTGTTTCAGACCAAACAAAATAGAGAAGCTTCACAAGCGACAGTCCGCGCGCATTCCGCGTACATTTTTGCGCAGCACGTTTGCCTTGCCTGAACGGTTCAGAACGGTTCCGAACGGTTCCGAACGGTTTTTTTGAGGGTCAGGAGCAATGCGTGCAAGGGCTTTGGAATTTCAGTCGCTGGGGTTAGTTTGGACGCTTCGTTTGTTTGTTTCCTCGCAACCCCTGGCAAAAGCCGTCATCTTGGAGTCTGCAAGCAGTGAGACTGCTTTGACTGCTTCGCCCTGAGCAAGAATGCAAAGTGGTCATGTGTCGTGTCAGGTGGCTCAAGCTTCCCACGCCCTCACCCGGAATCCTGGAAATCACCATTTGCGCTCGCATTGTGACTTTGAGGTTTCCGACAGGCGCTACCGCTACATCCGCTTTGACTTCTTGTGCAAAACTAAATTTGCAACATTTTCAAGCATACTAAGCATGACATGCCAGAAATCTCGCAACAACGTTTGTGTTCGTGAGTTGCCTCCAGGACGATCGGTGGAGACAACTCATTACAATCAGAAATGCACCCAAACATTCAAACAGCTGAGCCGTTCTGAACCGTTCCTGCAAAGCAAACCCGCTACAACCTGAACCGTTCTGAACCGTGGCGGGTCACGGGTGTCCACAAACGCATCTTGGTTCAGAACCGTTCTGAACCGTTCTGAACCGTTCCAAGCCTTTCCTAGCCACGGAACCGTTCTGAACCGTTCCCGAGGCCAGCGCACGGACGCAGAAGAGCCGTTCTGAACCGTTCTTTAGACCGTGATTTGTCTCAAGATATTAGCCTTACACATGTCAAGATGTAGCCGGTTCTTGACTCGAATGCTCGATCTTGAAGTCTTAAATTGGCACAAGCTGCTTCTTACTTCTTGCCGTGAGCAAAGAATTAGCGGCCCACAACTGTAGTGCCAAGCCAATGTAGCCACAGACCATGCCTTCGCAATTATGTTCTTCAGATGTCTGATGACTTGGCCTTGCAAACATGTCGGCATGCGTTGTCGCAGTGCCACGCTGAACTTTATGTTGCTTGCAAAAATGATTTGCTATGCATAATTATGCAGTTTATTGTTTGCATACTATGTTGCAAGATGTTGTGAGCAACTACATGCAGGGCTGATTGTGTTGAGGCTGGTTGTTTGCCGCAGGGGTAGGGCTAACTTACAACGTGAGTTGCGACGTAGGTTGTTACGTGGGTTCTTTCGTGACCTTAAAGGTTCGGAACTGCCCAACACACAAAGAGGCCACAGTTTGGTCTAAAGTAGAGTTGTATCTTAAGCAACACCTCCAATAGGCTGTCCATTCCGAGGCCCTCATTTTTCCTGCTGATCGCTGTAAGCAGGAAAAATGCCGACTGGCGTGCCCAGCAAGTCAGAAGTCCCGAAGCTGGGAGGAAGCCGGAGCATCTCGCATTTGACTTGAGAGGCAGGAAGGCGCATGGAAAGCACACCAACCCGGAGTTAGCGTCACGCTTTCCTATTCGTGAAACCTCAAGTTATAGACCCCACCACTTCGCTGCCTGAGGAATAGACTAATATATAGTTGGAAAGAAGAGTTCCTACCTAAATTCTATACTGAAAAAGGATGTCTGAAATTGCACTCAGGCTTCTACGCCTGAAAGTTTAAGCTTGCGCACCAATGGAACCGAAGTTGCGAGATGCTAGAGTTTCGGTGCACAGTTGGCAACAAGACTTTCTAATTACATGGCTTTATTTCACGCTTCCTCCCGCGTGTGCAGATGCTTGACATGCTACGGTGCATGTTGAATGACAAGAGCTATCAGGCCCAACCACCAGGGCTCCCTAAATTTTATTTGGGTTGGTTTCCACTTCCCCCTTTTTGGGGTGATGTTTATGCAAGGACCCATCAGGTGAGCCTCTCAGCGGGTCCGAATGCAGGCGAGCACAGAAGCGCTACGAGGAGGCCGGGAGGGGGGCTGTTCCTGATCTTCGCAGAGGACAGCGAGAGAGAGAGAGAGAGAGGGAGAGAGCTCAACGGTTTTTGGCACGTTTGGGCGGCAGGCCATTGCGGACTACAACCAAGCACTGGCTCCGCGCTTGGTTCGTGACGAAGACACACACACACACACACATTTGTGAGTTGTGCAAGTTTGTGTTTGCAGGCCGGTTTTGCGAACGTCCGCATTCAACTTTTGCGGCGTTGATCTATAAAGAGCCTTGCATTGGTTTTGCTCTCCATTTGTTGATCGGCCCGGGCTTTGACCCAGTTGGATGGATGTCTCCGTTCGGTTGCCCAATGCTCACACTTCACGTTTGAATGACAGGATGCTTCTATTTGTGGAAGAAGGTCCCAGGTTCCAATCCGCTGCGCAACCTAGGCTCTCCTAGACTCTTCTAAGGAGGGTTGTGAGGGCCATTCTTGTGGCTACTGTAGAGGGTCCTAATGACTGGCCCTAGCTTCACTGGTGTGAAAGGAGTGTTTCCGTGTTTCTGTCTGGCGTCTTGGCGAGGCCAGTGGAAATGCATGTGTAGCGTTTGGGGCGTTTGAGGCTAGATTTCGCTTTCAAGCGAAATCCCTGTGTGCCCTGGAGCCTCTGGGGAACGTGCCCAAATTTGTACAGAACCCCTAACGCACCACAAAAAGGCGGGCGCCTCCAGTTTAACAAGAGTATACATTCATAGTCTTGCACAGCCGTTTTTAGTTATGCATTCCGGTACCGCCAGTAGAAAGATCGTTTCCGCCGCTTGGCAAGCAGCCGCCGGGCTCTTGGTTTTGTCATCTCGCATCATCTCGCCATGGCTTCGTTGGCGCCCCGTTTCTGCGGATTGCGTGTGGGCAGAGCCTTCTCGGCGTTGCGGCACGACTGGACGCGCGCAGAGGCCGCTGGGGCTGAGGAGTGTGATCGTTTCGCACACGGCGTTAAAAGCGAGCCAAGCTATGAAGAAGGTGTCTTGAACATTGTGACTTTTTAGTGATTTGATGATTTGCCCAGATACATGGGCTTGCCCCTTTTTTTGCAAACTATCCCCACCTCCTCCAGGGCCAGTTGCCCCCCTCCGTGGCAAGTGTTGAGACAAACCTGCAAGTTGAGGGCCTCATGAATTATGCTGTTCTTTTTTGCGCGGGAGGGGGTGTTGGGTGCAATGTTCTCTGAGATGGGCAACATCTTTTGGTATCACAGAGAGGGTTAAGAGATGAGGAAGGCTTACTCCTGCCAGGCACCTTTTGACCTTTTGCTTGCACATGCCAGAGTGTAGCTACCCTTTGCTGACTTTGCCCCCCCTCGCCTCGCAAAATACCCCCCCCCCCAACAGTTCCCCCCAGTCTCAAAACCTTAAAGACGTTTGAGTTTAGGGTCCCACTCTGAAAGCCCAAAGGGAGGCAGTCCTAAAGCGAACCCTGGAAGAATTTGTGCAAAGATGAAGCCCGCCCTCTTGCTGTGCTGCATTAGCCGCTGGAAAAGGTGACAAAGACTCTGCGATCCAAGGGGTCGCATTCAGTCTTTTGAAGCATTGAAAGAAACTCTGAAACACCACGATTGTCCATGCGCGGCCCTGAGCTGAAGCCCTCTACCAATAGAGGGCTAACAAGAAGCTTTACAAGAACCTAGACCTGTGCGATCTAGCTTGCCCAGCTGGCCATGTGTCGAAATTGGTGGAGTTGCTTTCGGGTGCTTTGAGTAAGAAACAACACGGACACCCTTTCTCTTGGGGGGGGCTTTTTCGAGCATTTCTTTGCCTGGACCTGGCCGGTCGGGCGCCTCGAGGTGGGGGAGATCTACCACCGCCCGCTGCTGGAGTTGGCCTTCGAGGCCGCCTCGGTGCACCGAAGTTACTTCAACCCTCGGGAGTCTTGGCAGTTCCCAGCCGCACCCTTGTCTTTTTTTAAGAAAAAGCAAACGTTATGCGTTGGGATAGAACACCGGAGGCTAGGAAAGCCAGCCTCGTGGTTACAATGTTACAAGTTTCCAACATTCACGGGGGTCTTTAGCTAGAACACTCTGATTCACCGAACGATCTCGAATGTGCCGTTTGATGGCTGCACGTTGTCGACGGCTCGTCCTGAACTCGTTCAGGGCCCTCCCCCCCCTTTCCCTCCTTTGATCAGGACAAGTGTTGCCCAGCAAACTCGCATGGCTCGGCTCTGGATACTAGCTTTCGAATTCGAGAAAGAGCGTGTGCAGCAAGCTTTTCGTTTTTGGTCAATGTCCATTCAAAGAGGCTGTGGTCTCACCTTTTCTTAGCTCAGCACGGCGTTCTCGCCCAACCTTTACTCCTCGGTCCTGCTCGGACTACTCCAGTCTGCACGGGTCAGCAATGACAAAAATGTATTGGGCATTGGAGACACAGCCAGTTTCCGACTTTAACAACCTCCAGCCAGGACATCCTTAACACCCCCCTTGCTGGAGTCCTGGAGGGGGTGTTGGGCTCCCCAGCTCCTTCTTCGTTTTTCTTCTTTATCTGAGTTTTTTCACAAACAAGACGACTAGCAGCAGAGACAGACAGTTTAGACTTTAAGACTTTGAGAGCAATCTTTAGAGGGATTTTATCCCACAAATTGGAGCTCACAAGTGTTTGAAAGCTCGATGTTTCAATCTAAGACTTTAGACCAAGGGGATCAACAAACCAAGGAGGTGCAGCAGTCCACGCTGCTGTCCATAAAGACGGGCGGCTGCGGGGAGAACTGTGTCTTGGATTTTGATATTTCTGTCGCTTCCTTTGTGTTTGTGTTTCCTTTCAATCTCGACGGAAGGTAATTGGGGATGGACCATTTAAGTGGCATCAGGAAGTGATATTCGTTTGTTGGGAGAAGGGGGAGAGAAACTTGGAGTTGTAGGCGGAACGCTGGGTTTTGGAGGGCGAGAAGTTGGCGAAGGGGCCGGGCGAGGGAGAAGTTTGCTATGAATTTTGTAGCAGGGTGTGAAGAGAACGGGGCCCTCAGCTTTTGGAGGGCAACCGGATTCCAAGCTGGCTGGCCACCATGCAATCTCACACTTGGCAAAGATTGGAAGCTGAAGATGCCAGAGTGCAAGTGCTCCTTTTTCAACCCACAGCCTGTATCCAAGGGCTTCGCCATCACCAGCTGTGCTGGCCGGTCGGACAGGTGAGATGGGGAGCACTAAGAAGAACTCTGTCTAGGCGGGCTTGTTTCCGGACCACCCAAGCACGCGCTCGCTGCGAACCCACACGCGCAAGAGGCTGCAAGGTTGCTTGCCCAACCCCCTGACACGGAGCATGCACTCACCCACCCTAGCTTGAGCGCGCCTTCTTGCGTCCGGCGTGCGCGCGCCGCACGTGTCTCACACCGAAAGCCAATCAGACCAACAAATGCATCCCCGGCAGCCCATCCCAGCCCCACAGAAACCGGTGGAAAAATGTTTTCCGCGCAGACTTGCCCGCCATGTCCGGACTGCCCAAACCTACCCTCAGGGGGCCCATTTTTGCAGGGTTTGAGCGATGCAGGGGATGCAGGGGATGTAAGGGATGCTGGAACGCCCAGATGCTGGTGCTGCAGGGAATGCCGAGGATGCTGGCGAAGTTTGCGAGGATGCAGAGGATGTTGGCGGGGATGCTGGCGACTGGTCGGGCTATTTACAGTGTTTTTTGAAGGTCGGGCAACGTGGATCAGAATCCTGTCGCAGCGCCAGGGAGGCCGGGGATGTTTTTTGGAGTCCAAGTGTTCAGGCAATGCTGAGGAGGAGTGCAACAAAACACGTCAGCGGTATACCCTACGGATAGGGTGGCCCTCGCTCTTCAATCTCGAAGACACACAGCGCAGCTGGATTTGGCTTAGGGTTGTTTTGTTGCTTGTCCTTCCAGTGGCCCCTGAGGCGGGTACTGTTCCCAGAGCCAAAGCTTCAAGACGCCGGTGAAGCCCACGCCCATGATGACGCCTGTCTCAAAGTGGGCCTCTGAGACTATCGAGTTTTCTCAGCCTGTGGCTTGGGGGTTTCACCTTGGAATCTCAACCTTGGTTCTTAACAGTTACCTGTGGGACCTCTCGGCTAGCCTTCAAACTACAACTTCGTTTTGGGAATGGCACTTTAGCAGTGCTTTAATTGTTCGGCTTCAGGGTAGTTCTTTTTGGTGGGATTGTTTTTTGGGGACAGAATTAGGAGGAACGCGCCTGGATGACGCAAACGGATGCAAAGGAAGGAAAGAACGAAGGGCGCGCTCTGATTGGGAGGCGGGAAAGGCTTGATGCTGTCGCCATGGGCTTATTGGCAGCGCAAAACCTACTAATGGGGGCGACCGTGCGCCGCTTGCATTTGTTGCCACATGATTAATGGAGGGAGGGGTCTTTTTCTGCAACTAACCTCGGCGGGTAAGCCCTCCCACCGACCAACGTATGGTGATTGTAGGGTTTCTCCAGGGGCGGGGCAAAGTGATGTCCAGGAGCCCGCCGTAGGTTCCGTGTTAGTGCGCGGGATGGGAATGCAGAACCTGACCAGGAGGGCCTTCATGTTTTCCAGCTAGGAGTTGCTCAAAATCGGGGACCTACAGCTTGGATTGTTTTCTTGGGCTCCCTCACAAAACATCCGTCAAGGGGTCAACCAGTTTTTGTGCCGCTGTGCTGTTCCAACTTTAGGCAACTCGGCTAGGGCGATTCCGCATACCTTGGATTCGTGCACAAGCCCGTCCTCCGAAGCTCAAAGCAAGGATCAAGCCACCTTCCGGCAGGAAACTAGTATTGGTCTGGGTCGGGGCCCACGGCCCCCCCAATTACTGTAGCATATGAAGCATATGTGGGTTTGAAAGGGAAACCCCCAAATAATGTTGAGAACCACTAAGGATGCTCACTTTAAGGCACCAAACATGGGGTCCTGTTGGGTTCCTTTACCAGTGGCCAATGTATTCCCTTGTGTGTTGCCTCCTCATGCTGGTTCAGTTTAAGCCAGTGGCTCCAAGAAGCACACCCAATCTACAAGTTTTGTTGGGTTGCGAAAGGTCTTCTTAGAATTTGTCGTACGAATTTTCGTACTTCCAGAATGTTTTCCCCGTGTTGAATGATTCTTGGATCAGTCTTTTCAAACTTCACTCGAAGATGGGAAGAGGGCGTTCTTGACGGAAACCTGGGCTTGGCCGAT